CTTAAAGTCATGACTACCACATTTATAGGACAAAACTATAGAGGTCTTTAATGAAACCCACTACCACATATTAAAATATTTTATTTTTTAAAAGAAATAAGTTACTTGAGGATAAGTAACAATTAAGTTTGGAAAATTTTGACATATCAAAAATATGTTACTTTTATTTGCACATTTAATGTCTATTTTTAATGATATTATGCTTTAATGAAATGTATTTTTGGTGTTCTTTGTAGTAGGCACACTAAATGGAGCAAATGAAATGAAAATGGAGCAAATTGGAGTCAAATGAAGCAAGAAGGCCAATGTTAATCTGGCACCTAGGTGCTAGACAACAGGAGGCTGGGCGCTAGGATCTGGTGCCTAGGCGCTAGAGGTGGTTATCTAGAAGATCCATTAAATGTGGACGAATTTTGAAGAGGTGCTTGAAGAAACTCTTGGGGATTTTGAGATCTCTATGTAAAAAGGCTTTTGGAGATTTGAAAGGGAGAATTTTAGAGAAGAAAAATGGAGTCTTTTGTAGAGAAGTGGATTCTTCCTAGAAAGGAGAAAGTCTTGGAGGCTTACTTAGACTTGGAGGAGAAGAGAAGTGAGAAATATCTTCTTCGCTACAGTTTTAAGTAAGTTTAGAGTGGAATTGTAAGGAGAGTAAGTGATTCAAAGGAAGTAGTAGTATTGCTTGGGAATGTATTCAAAGATAAGTTGAGTGCTTTGTTTATTTTTACTTAGTCTTGTCTTGTAAACTTTTATTCATGTATAAATCCATGTGTTGTTGTTTCTTTCCCATGAGATCCGAGTAGTTTCCTTTGTCTTTCTCCCTACAATGAAGAATAATTATGTGTAGGAATGTAGTTTAGTAGAAGTGCTTTAAAAATTTCATAAATTGTGAAGATTCAAACTCTATGCTTAATTTACTTATCAATTTGGCCATGTGATTTGTTAAAATATGTTGTAAAATATAGTGACCCAAAATGAGCTATGTTCCAACAAAGTATGAATCACATTTAGCCTCATGGATGACAATGTAGTACCAAAGGGTAAGTGCAAATAAATAGGGAAATAAGTTTTAATGGATGTAGAATTAGAGATTTTAGGGCGACAGACTAAAATCTTGAATTTAATCCAGATGATTGAAAAGTAAAGAGAGATGTTAGCCCTCAACGGAGGGGGAGTGGGAACTCTAGAGGGAGAGCTAGTATCTTCCCAACCTAACGATTATATACCAAACTCTTAATTAGCAAATGTTCTTTGTGCACTCGAGAGAGGGTAAACAATATAATTGCTTCTATTTGGCACAATACCTTAATTATATTTAAAATTATTTTCCTGCAATAATTATAATCTCATTGCAAGGAGAAGGATGTTTTATACAAATTTAAACTCTTTATACATTGTGGTAACTTTACATTTTAAAACCTTTTTAAATTGTCCTGCATTTACATTTTGCATTTGCTATGGTTATGCTGGGTAGGTCTAGCCTCTCACTTCCAGATTGCCCGGTATGCTCTCTCTATAAGACTAGCCAAGCCTTAGGTTCCAACTATAGACCAAATTGGTTAAGTTTCTAGCCTATCACTCTAGAATCATCATTTTTACGCCCATCAAAACTTATCTCCATATCTATTTGCACTCCCTCCTGGACTAAGTCTCCCCCCATCCAAAGGGTTATTGTTTCATAATGGAGTTTAACATTACAAATGGGTAATTTGTAAAGTAAATTAAGAACCGGTAAAAATAGTGTCACAATTTTGGAATAAAAAAAAATCTTCAATCCATTCTAATACTACACATGATTAAATCTTAATGCAAGAAGAAAGATAAAGAAAACTACTCCAAATTCATGGGGATAACAGAACAAAAAATGATTTGTATTAAAAGTTAAGTTTACACAATAAAGTAAAACACAAAAAAAATACAAGGTACTTATCTTAAACTTCTCCCCAAGCAAATCCTTTTGAGTTCCTTTACTATCTTCTTCCTCCAATAAACACACCAGAACAAGAATCTAACTCACACACCCACACATAAGACTCACGCCAAGACTATACTCCAAAAGCTCTCTAGACACACACACACACCTTCTATTAAATAGAGCTCATAAAACCACCAAAAGTCACTTCAAGCGCCTCTTTCAAAATTTATCTAAATTCAATGTCAAAAAGTTCCAACTGTTTCTGGCTCCTAGGCACCCAACCGTGGTGCCTAGGCACAAACCTTTTAGAAGTCCCTGGTAACTACTTGGCGCCTAGGCGCCAGATCAATTTTTGCTCCATTTGACCTCTTTTTGCTCCTATTTTGCTCCTTTTGCTCTTTAAGCTTCATCTTTTGTATCTGCAATAAAAAAACACACAAAATACCTTTCATTAAAACACAATATCCTTAAAAATGAGTATAAAATGTATATATAAAAGTAACATATTTTAGGAGTATCAAGAGTCCAACCATGAACAGGGATTTCTAACCCACAAAGTTCTATATGTATTACACTTAGAATCGCATCTCCCTAAGGTCCCAAAACTCTAAAGTTAGTAGCATTCCATTCTCTGCAGTTTAGAGGGAGATGAGTAGCTGCTGAAATTTCCCTCACATCGTACAGAATCCTTAGTCGTTCCTCATGAAAAGAAATCTTATGGACCACTATATTATTGGATTTGTTAGGTGAATCCAAAGTATTGTTCCTGAATAACACATGGTCATGTGTGTCACTAAAAAATTCACCGAGCCTAACTAAAATCTCTGATGTCAACTTTGACTCATATTTTCTAAAAAATACTATCAACCTGATGATGAAAGTCGCTATCTGTAAGTTGTCAATGCATACTCCGATCACCTTTAAAATTCCATCAACATAAGCATGAGTAAAATTTTAGGCCAGCTTAAAAGGTCACCTCTTGAAGGCAACATATCTTGGTGGAGGAGAATATGCTTGGTTGATTGGGGTTGATAACTTCAACACCATATCATTCAGAATATAATAATTATTCCATAATAGAATCATGCCACCCTTCGTCAGATTTGACACCAACTCTTCAGGGTTTTGTCACTTCCTCTGGTTTTCATTAGGGCAAGGTTCTTCAAATGCTGTAACTCAACAATACAAAAAAAATTTCCAAAAAAGTGCGACAGTAACATGGGAAATCCCATAAAAAAAACACAACAACAACGCTAGAGAAGATCATATTGATCACTTGCCAGCTGGTTGACGAATATCTTTTTTTTTTCTCTTGAATGCACAATAACAACATGAAAGAGATCAGATTGATCATTTGCAAGTAGTCTGAGAGACACCTTTTTTCTTCTTCTAGAGATCTCATTAATCACTTATTAGCAGGCTAGGGGACTCGACCATCTTGCTCGAGAAAGTGCATCAACAATGCATAGGGAATCTCTCAGTGATTGCTTGTTAGTGAACTAAGGGACACCTTTTTGCCCCTCCTTGGGTTGATCTTTTTTTCCTCTATTGGGCTTGATCCCCAGCCTCTTGATCTCCCTCCTTATCCTCCTTCTCAGTGCTGAAATTTCACTCTCCTTCAACTCCTTTTTATATAACCCTAAGGCCCAAATCAATCATATTTTAGGCCCAAACTCTACCTATTATTAGTTTAATATGTGCCTTTGGATCCACCTCCTCATTCAAATTGCCTAATTTGGGCCTTGGATCCCACAATTTGGGACCTGGATCCCACTGTCGGATCTCAACCACTAGATCCATGCATGTGGCTTGGCCGCCCTCCCTCGAGCCAACGCGAGCCATGACAGCCCGTCATTCGACACGTTCTTCACGGACCTAGTAACCCGGTGTCTGCACACTGACCCAATAGCGAACTATCGCCGACAAAATGTATAATAAATGGGGATTTGAACCCAAGACCACATGCAAGGAGAAGAAGGCCCCTTGCTAATTGAGTTACACTCACTTGAACGCTTAAACTTTTATTAAAAATCATCAATAGATTTGATTTTAACAAACTTATAGTCAATTTGGTCAGCTTGACGAGACATACCAAATGATACCAAAATTGGTCAAATCTGAGTCAAATAAGCTCAGATCAAAGCATTGTAATGATTTTGGAAGCTTTCAATGCATAATTAGAAGACCAAACAGATTACAAATCTTGCAAGCTTAAAGTCAACTCGAGTGTCTCAAGAAATCGAATATAACGAGCCCAAGATCACTCAATTTTAACATCATTAAGACAATTAAATGTTCATAGAACAACAACTGATGAAAGAAGTCTGAATTTATTATTTATTTGCAACATGGAGTCGATAAATAGAGCTCAACCCACTCGAACCTGAGCCAGTGAAAGAACATAGCAGAGCTAAAAGTCTGATATTTGTGCCGACGACCCTGCAAACTTCTCTAGCTTTTGCAGTTGTTGGCCACAGTCACCATCAATCACCAGCAATCATCCTCCATCGGCTGCCACTTATCTTCTGGTGACAAAATTCTAAAATTTAAACAAGTATCAATATAAATGGTTAAAAACAGCGTAATAACTTAAAATATGGCAAATTAAATTATAACTCAGGTTTGTTGGCCATAGTCACTATCACTCACCAGCAATCATCCTCCATCGGCTGCCACTTATCTTCTAGTGACAAAATTCTAAAATTTAAACAAGTATCAATATAAATGGTTAAAAACGGCGTAATAACTTAAAATATGGCAAATTAAATTATAACTCAGGTTTGTTGGCCACAGTCACCATCACTCACCAGCAATCATCCTCCATCGGCTGCCACTTATCTTTTGGTGACAAAATTCTAAAATTTAAATAAGTACCAATATAAATGGTTAAAAACGACGTAATAACTTAAAATATGGCAAATTAAATTATAACTCAGGTCATAATCGGGTAACTCGGCCCGACTTTTTTGTAGATTGCAGCTCCCTGTGGCTATTATGAGATCTATTGTGATATTTAGAATTTTTTTCTGAGTGGGTTGCCCGCGCTGTAATTACAACGCGATGGCCGCACCAACTCTCTCATCTAAAATTGGTAAGCGAAAGCTTCCCGCTCCGCCCATAGAGCCCCTCTTCTCCCATCCATGATAACGGCCTTCACTTCTATCCTGTTTGCCGGACCTAGAACCCTAACCTTTCACCGCCCAGGTGGCATCATCCATGCCGATTTCCAGCGATTTGCTGCTGCAATTTCCTCTAGGGTTCCGCCGGGCAAGTCCAATTCATCCTTGTCCTTCTCCGCCTCCTCCACCATGGTCGCAGCCCAAGCGCCAGTCGATAACAAGGAGAGGAATGCTAACAAGGAGCTTATTGAGGAGACGGTTGTGCTTCCGACTAATGAGTCGTCGGAGAAGCTGCTCCGCATCCGTCACACGGTGGGCTGCTACTCTCAAATTTTTCTTTTTATTTTCCCTTTGTTTTGATGACTTCTGTTCATCTGAATCAGCTTTATACTTTTAAGTCTTTCAACTGTTGTGGAAAAGCTTTTCTTAATTTTGATGCGGTCGATATATGAACAAGCCTACTGAGTTTATTCATTGAACCTAATTTTATTAATTTTTATAGAAAGGAAGCTCCGTACAATTTATATCAAGCACTTGATTGAGAAAAGCACTTAAGAACATAATCTGAGTATTTCAATGGTGCTTAGTTGATGAGAGAATTTGGGATTAAATTGGCCAGTAATTGTAATGAATCGAATCCATTAAAGTCTTATTTGCTTGCTTGTGTATAGAAAACTTTTTTTAGAAAATCATAATTTCTTTCGCTGATTTTATGTTGCAAATTTAAGTTGTTGCATTTTGCTATTTTTGGAGGGTTTTATGAGTCTATGTTGATGTCTTGCAAAGTTTCAATTGATTGGCAGAATATGAGATTAACCTGAGAGTTGAGAAAAGAGGAAAGCGAAATAAAATTTGTTGGATTAAATAGAGTTACAATGTCATTTTGGCCCCTTTAGCTTGAAAGGGTGCATCAAACTAGCTGAGATATGTTTCACTGAAATAAGAAAGGCAAGAATATAGGTATAGGTTTTAGATTTGAGTTTTTTGCTATGAGTCCAAAATCCCAGTATTGTGCCCACATTCCTGGGACTTGGCTTCGTAAGTAATAGTTAACACATAAAAAAAAGTTAAAATTTAGATAACTTTTAAATACTCATAGTACAATCTATTGAAAAATAGTGGAATAGGTTGTTGCAATATATAGTATGATTTAGAAATCTACTTCTTTTGTTATAGGAATTGTGAGGAGGATGATTTCAAGTTAGGTAGGCCAATATTACAGATAAGTAAGTAGTGTCTTGGTCAAGTTTATTTATTTTAATATGCAACTTCTAGAATTTTTTTTTTTATTGAGCTTAATGTGTGTCCTTCAAGGATTGGATTGAAGCTATTCCTTAGGTGACTTGTCATTGAGATACTATTGACATCTTTTGAGCATGTGAGTATGGAGCTTTATTTCCCTTAAAATGATTCAATGATCTGTGGCATCTGAGACATGGTTTAAGTCGGCATCAAGACTTGTTTTGACCCAACCTTTCGAGTATAGGTGTAAATAAGTTCCTTGATTGTTTTCTCTTTCAAGAAGCTGACAGAAACAAGAGAATGTAAATTATTAAGAGCTTAATTTAGCCCAGATAATGTTTATTCTTTACTATTACCTTTTTGAGGTGTGAGATCTTTAAGTATCTATAGTTGATGTTATGATTCCCTTGTTTAGGCGTATTCATTTAAACTTATATCTTTTGATTGCTTTTAATTTTCAATTTTTTTATTAGTTTTATTTGCAATGTGGTAAATTTTAAAAGTGGGAGTTATGCTGTCTTTAGCCATCTGTAGTAAAAAAAAATACAATAAATAGGTTCTAAAGGGGAAACCTTGGCTGGAAATAAAATATTCTTCTTTTGTTGAGAATGCTCCTTTGCTAATGAGAATGAAACTTGGTTGCTTATATGAAGGCCAACCAAGTCTAGCCTTGCAATCTGACAATGCTTAATGATACAGGATTTTATGACAATTATAATGAAGGAAAATTTAGTCACTATAGACATTTGAAATGACTTTTATAGTTACAATTGAGATTTTGATCCTTTAACAAAGGGTTTATGACATTTTAATTAGGATAGATTGAATAAGGGTATGTTCAACGGACTTATAGAAGTTTTCTACTTCGTTCTAAGCACTAGCATAGCATGAACAAATTCCTACAAAGAACAATTTAAAAAAAATTTATGAGTGCATTTACAAAATTTATCCACCACATAAATACATACTCTTGCTTAATTTAAAATAATGATGCACACTTACATTTTTCTTTATCAGCAATGACAAGAACTTTTTATCCGTGAGTATTTTTTTGCTCTTCTAGCGAAACATCCTTGGTGGCGTATCTTCGAGAAACTCAATCCTTCTCCTACACAGTTTTGGAATGATTTTAGAAATTTCAATTTTCCTAAAATAAATAGTTCAATTTTTTTTATTTATGAAGAATTTATACAAAAATTTATGAGTACAAGTTTTTTCCCTTCTAGTATTAGAAGATTTTGAGGTCTTCCTATTTTAAGTCTTTTGGATTTCCTTTCCAACGTTGGTTTGGAGCCGATATGCTTGCCATATTACTAATTAATATTAAAAGGCCTTCTCATTCTAATTTGAGTTTGTCGATTGCATACCATATGTAGGGTTGTTATGTACAAGTATCATCAAGCCGAGTGGAACCGAGTATGTCCTAGATTGAATTTGGCTTGATAATATTATAAGTTTTTTATGTTTGACTCAAGCTCTCAAGCCAAGCTTTCATATGTATGTTCATATTTGATTTGTTTTATATTTTAATAATAGTATATGATTGTGCTTGACTTGTTTATTTTTATTGGACAATTACATCAGCTAGTTAATAAACAAGATAAAAATTTAAATGAGTATTTGACTTTTTATATAAATTTATTAAAAAAATATTTTTTATACATCTAAATAAATAAGCAATAGAATAAATTTTGAATTAGTATTCAAGTAATTTTCTTGTAATCAAATAATATAAATAAATCCTAACAAATTAGTTCATTGAAATAATTAAATAAGTTATTGCATTAGATTAATATGAATATTGAAATTAAATTATTATATGTTACTATTAAATTTATAATTAAATAATATTTAGTTTATCAAATTTTATTTAAATAATATCTCATGTAAGTATAATTCATTTAAGAAGTTATTTAATGAACATTAAGTGAGCTTATTCGTGAACATAAATAAGTTAAACCTCTTTATGTTTAGTTTATTTAATCTTCGAGTTCTTAAAAATGTTCAAACTTGTTTATTTATTAATTTGAACAAACATGATCAAGCATTAGTTGAGACAAGTTCCAATAGTTCATCAAGTGCATTGGTTCATTCACATCCCTAACAAAATGGCTGCTACTTCAATCTTTTGAAGAGCCGAGTCTCTTGCTTGAACTTGTTTATCATGAACATTCATATTATAATACTTTGCAATCTCTCCTTATATTCTACCACTGTTCTGTGGCGATCTAGTTATAGTAATTTAACTTTTTGAAAATTTACGTCACCTAAAAATTTCTCTCATGAGCGTTCACATTATAATACTTTGTAACTTGCCTTCGAATTTGTTCAGAAACATGTTGAACCAGTTGCGTAAGGTGTTCCTCCATATTCTGCAACTGTTCGTAGTTGAAGTTGTCATTGTAATGTTTATTTTGTGAAGTTCATTTTCGAGAGTTTGGCGGACATGTGATCTGACTACTAGTTCTAACCACTTCCCCTCTCACTAAATCAAAATTATTTAGCAAGCAATTTGTTGAACCCTTTTATAGAGTATGAATTTAACTTAAAATTTGAGAAGAGTGAAAGGAGGAATCTAATCTTAATTGATGAACTTTAATTATAGAGAGTTTAATCAACTCCTTTCACTCAAATGGGTGAATCAAACCAGACGAGATAGGTTTCACTTCGAGAAGAAGGCTAAAATTCTAGAGTTTAGATTTGAATTTTTGTTCAAAGTCCAAGATCCACGGTTCATTTCTCTATGCCTGAAACCTAGCCTTTCATTTATAGCATGTTAACACAACATATTGTTGAATAATCATAATAAATGCTATTGTGAACTATATTGTGATTTAGAAGGCTACTCCTTTCGTCTTGGAAATAATTTGAAGAGTTCTTTGCTATGGAACTAATTTTACTGCCATATTTATGGTTGGTGTGCAATGCTATCGTTCTTGGAAAGAACACTTCAAGTCTTTTCATGAGGTGGTTGAAGGCACACTTCATTATGCAACATTGTTGGTTAACATGCTGCATGCGAGCCATAATTGTTAGTAAGGATCATACTCAAGCTCGAAGTGTTTGTTGGAAGCCAATATTGGCACTTCATCACTAAGTTTATTTATCTACATTGAAATTCCTATTTGTCATTGTCGGTCAACATTTCGGTTGATTTGAAAATATGAATATGAAAATAATTTTTGAAATTTAATTTAATTTAATAGATATATAGTTTAAGTTTTAAAAGTAGTATATTTTAATTTTTGAAAAATGAAACTAAATGGATCTCATTTGTCCAATAGTTTGCATAATCGTGCCCGATACCCCAAATACTACACCCTCCCGAAAGATAAGTGTAGATCTCGGCGATAGACCCAATCCTGCAAACTAAGAGATTTGTGACATCCGTTTGGTCTGCGAACCTCTTATGTATGACCGATAAGTTCCCCTATTTAATACAAAAATTAAATAGAGTTTATTTTACCTGAGTTCCAAGTTCCCTATAGAGGCAGACCCCTATAGTTAATTACATCCCAAGTGACGGAAGTCGCTTGAGAAAACTCTCGATAATGATCAGTGGTTCTAGTCTTCAAGAATTCAAGGTTCAGGTTTTCAAGGTAGGACGTGAAAAAAAAAAGTGAGAGTGGCTCAAAAAGGAACAGTTATTTTAGGAGTCCAAAGAAAAGAAAAGGTAGGGGATGTCACAGATCCGGAGGAGAACTCTCAGTGACTTCCCAAACTATCCTACTGTGTGGCTGCATTTTTAGAGATGATGATATTCAATTGTTCAATCCTGCCAATTTTATTATTTGGGACTTAGAACCTAAGGCGAGTTAGGACTTACGCTGCACAACATGATTGTACAGGAGCCTAAATAAGATGTGAGGATTTACGTCGCGCTAGGCGAGCTACCTCGAAGTCCTATGGGTTGTTATTATGCTAGGAAAAGATAATGCTGAAGAAGATCCTCTTGCTGCTGGGTTTGAATTCCTCGTTGCCGTGCTGCCCACAAAGTTGGCTCCAAGCTCCTGTCGTCGTGACGGCTCCAGGGTTTAACTGTTTGAAAATTGTAGTTTTTGTTTCACAGT